GGTCGCTATGAGTTGGGATCGACCCAACAACAGTGAGTTTTGGTTTGCAAAGGTTATTAAAAGGATTAAATGAGGTATTTTTTAAAAAAATTATTTACATATAAGGACTCATTTATAAAGAAACTGAAATAGAAGTAATGTAAGAGCCTGGGGGTGTATCACAGGCACTCAATTCATATATGTCTTGATGTAGAGTCATAAATGTAGGAAGAGGCATAACCAAGACTCAAGCATGTCCAAAAAACCCTATGTTGTGTCAAATCAAGAGTCATGGGACAGTATTGCATAAGGGCTGGATACTATACTTTTGTTGCTATTTAATCCCCACGAAAAATGATGGCTGCATCAATGATTCTATCACCATTGAGACATATTTTAAGTTCTGAATTCTAGATGATTATGATGCACAGCCTAGAATTATTCAGATGCTGGGTCTACCTTCAAATAACTTCTAGTCCACAGGCAAGCAGGACTGATTTCTTTGACTCTGCTGGGAAGTCATCTGCCAGTTTTGGGTCTCAGGGAGTGCACACTACTGGCTTCCCGGACTCCCTCAACTGATACCAGAAGCCATCCCCAGTCCACAGTGGCTGCTGAGGACTTAAAAACTTTTCTTTTCTTTCTTTTCCAAATTTATGTTCTGTGGTACTGCTAGGGAAGTAGAGCAAAACGCAGCTGAGGCAAGCCCAAGTGACCATAAAAATCAATACAAATCTTCCTAAGAAGTTTATGGTTCTTTGTTATTTCAGGTCAGAAAATTAATTGTTTTAGATCCTAAGAAACGGCTGAGTACCTTTCAAGCTCTCCAGCACCCGTGGGTCACGGGAAAAGCAGCCAATTTTGTACACATGGATACCGCACAAAAGAAGCTCCAAGAATTCAATGCCCGGCGCAAGCTTAAGGTAAGATGACATAGGTTTTGTTTTGTGTTTTTAAAAAGCGAGAAAGCGCTTTCTCTCTTATCTTGAACTATCAATAATATCCCTACCTTGAATAACCATCTAATATTGTTATTCAACTCCTATAACATCAGGGCATATACTACTTTGAAAGTTGTCAATGCTTGGCATAAAGCCACTTACAGCTTTCTTATCCTTTCATAAGAAATTCATTGTTAGCAAAGGGAAATGTGCTGTGTATTGAGATTGACTCATGACCAACAGATTATTGCTGCTTCTTATCTAATTAAGGCTGAACTACTTGAGCAGCATTGTTTAGGAAACTGATCTTTATCCAGAAAGTTGTCCTCTTTCCAAATATGTGAAAATTAGGAAACATTTTTTTAAACTACCATATTTTCACCCAGTATAATGTACATTATATTTTTTTGCCAATTGTACCTTCCCCCCAAGGTATTTTCAGAAGGCTCTTCACTGTGCTAATTTCTTTATGGGAATATGTGAAAAAAAAAAAAAAATAGTGTAATGTGCTTACAAAAATACCTTGGGGGAGGGCACAATTGACAAAAACATATGATGTGTGTTATTTGTATAATAAGTCCTCAGCAATATATTTTGTAACAGAGGTAAATAATTAGTATACTTGGTTAAAAAAATGATTTAATTTATATAGAACATTACTCACCAAAATATGTTTTTATAGAATATATATGGCACTTGTCTATTACATAATAGTGTTTAGGATGGGTTGCTTTGGTGGCACAGTGGTTAAAATGTTCAGCTGCTAACCAGAAGGTCAGTGGTTGGAACCTACCAGCCATTCCACAAGAGAAAGATGAGGCAATCTGCTTCCATAAAGATTTACAGCCTTGAAAACTCTATGGGGCAATTCTACCATAGAGTCCTATAGGATTGCCATGATTTGGAATAGCTATGATTTGGAATCAACTAGATGGCAATAGGTTTTGGTACATAAGCTTAAAATCTCAGAGAATGGCTATGGGTCAAAATAGAGTTATTCTATTCAACCATTGCTAATAGGCTGATACAGACTAAATAAACCCAGAAGATTCTGTGGTCAAATTAATTTGACCTATCTTGGGTTAAATAAACTTGATTTAACCCAGGATTTCTCAAAAGACTTTGACCATGGTAATCGTATATATTCCGATTACCTATTACCACCCGTGGAACTAGTGTTTCATGAAATTTAATAATCTGAGATACACAGTCTAAAATTGTTGAGAACTTTTATTTTCAATGAAAATTAAAAAATGGAAACTTTTTAAGTAAAATTATGGTAGTCCACAGGAAAACACATTTACTCAGGCCTTTAGTTGTTCAGATGATTAAATATACGAATTTGGGCTTAAAAAAAAAAAAAGGTTTACTTTTCATTCTCCAAAACCCATTCCCATGCCATTGAGTCAATCCTGACACATTACAACCCTAGAGGACAGAGTATACTGCCCAACAGGGTTTCCAAGGTTGTAAATCTTTATGAAGACTGCCATGTCTTTCTCCCACAAAGTGGCTGGTGAATTCAAACTGCTGACCTTTCAGTTAGCAGCCAAGCATTTAACCACTGTGTTTAATCCCAGGGCTTTCTTTTTTAAATAAGCTTTTATTGAGTGTTTGGTGAAAATTTACACAGTAAGTTAGGTTCCCATATGACAATTTCCACACTAATTTCAGTGACATTAGTTACATTTATCACAGTGTATCAACATTCTCCTTGTCCTCTGTTTGTTCCATTTCCAGTACTCTAATTTTCCTGCTCTGGTAGCATAGTGGCTAAGACACTTGCCTGCTAACCAGACGGCTGGCGGTTCAAACCCACCAGCCACTCCTCGGAAGGAAGGTTGGGCAATCCTACTTCCGTAGTGATACTGCCTCGGAAACCCAAGGAGGGGTCGCTATGAGTCAGGTTTGACTCAACGGCACATAACAACAACAACAACAATTTTCCTGCCCCCTTATCTTCTCCTTTTTGCTTTTGAGTAATTTTTGGTAATTTTTCACCTTTTGTTTTCATACTGATGGTTTTTAAGTACAACACCAATCTTGCAGGTAATGTCCTTTGTTTTGTGAGCCACTCAGCTATTTTGCTAAAAAGTGATCTCAGGGTATAGGTTTGGTTCTAGGCTTAAAGAGTGTCTAAGGGTGCTAGTTGCAAGGAATCCCCTGTTCTCCATTGCCTGGTTTATCAGGTTTTTTGGGTTTTTTTTTTTTTTTTTAAGAAGATATTGAGTTATACTCCACATTATTGTCCTATTATAAAGAGGTCTGGTAGCATAGTGCCTAAGGCCCTTGACTGTTAACCAGAAGGCTGGTGGTTCAAACCCAGCAGCCACTCCTCAGAAGGAAGGTTGGACAATCTATTTCTATAGTGATACCACCCTGGAAACCCAAGGAAGAGTAGCTATGAGTCGGATCCGACTGCATAGCATATAAAAACAACAACAATTTTCCTGCCCCCTTATCTTCTCCTCTTTGCTTTTGAGTAATTTTTCACCTTTTGTTTTCATACTGATGGTTTTTAAGTAGGACACCAATCTTATAGGCAATGTCCTTTGTTTTGTGTGCACTCTGCTATTTTGCTAAAAAGTGATCTCAGGGTGTAGGTTTGGTTCTAGGCTAAAAGAGTGCCTAAAGGTGATAGACTCAAGGAGTCCCCTATTCATTGTCTGATTTGTCAGGGTTGTTGGGTTTTTTTTTTTAAGAGAAGAATTTGAGTTGTACTCCACATTTTTCTCTTATTATCTCTGGGACCATCTACTGTGACCACAGTCCAAATCATCAACGGTAGTAACCATGCACCATATAGTTCTGCTGTCAGGGCAGATGAGATTATGGCCCATGTAGACTTTTTTCTTCTCTGAACTTTTGCTTACCTTCCTACTGTTTTGATCACAACAAGTAGAGACCTGTATTTGTGTCTTAGATGGCTGCTTGAAAGCTTTTAAGACTCAGACTCTACTCACTTCAATAAGATGCATTTTATGATTTTTGTGAACTGTGTTATACCAATAGACTGAGTTGTCCCATGAGTCCATGGTCCTAAACATAGGACAAAAAAACAAGGTTCCAAAACCAATTTTGGAATTTGGTTATGTCTGTAGAGTATCGTACTTGTGTCTTCAATGAGTTGTGTGCCTGAACCCACATGTTGTTGTTGTTAAGTGCTGTTGAGTCAGTTTCGACTCATAGTTGCCCTAGGTACAACAGAACACAACACTGTTGTACATTGGTCCTGTGCCGTCCTCCCAATCATTGCTATACTTGAACCCATTGTTGCAGCTGCTCTGTCAGTCCATCTTGTTGTGCATCTTCCTCCTTTTTACTGGCCCTCTACATTACCAAGCATGATATCCTTCTCCAGGGACTGGTCCCTACTGATAACATGACTGAAGTACTACATATGATAGCTGGCCATTCTCGAGTCTAAGGAGCAGTTTGACTGTACTTCTTCCAAGACCGATTTGTTCATTCTTCTGGCAGTCCATGGTATTCAACTTTCTTCATCAACACCATTATTCCAAGGCATCGGTTCTTCTTGAGTCTTCCTTATTCATTGTCCGGCTTTCATATGCATATAAGGATATTGAAAATACCATGGCTTGGGTCAGGTGTACCATATTCTTCAAAGTGACATCTTTGCTCTTAAACACTTTTAAGAGGTCTTTTGCAGATTTGCCCAGTGCAATACCATGCCTGATTTCTTGACTGCTGCTTTCATGGGTGTTGATATTGGAACCAAGTAAAATGAAATCCCTGACAACTTCAATCTTTTCCCCATTTATCATGATGTTGCTTATTGATCCAGTTATAAGGATTTTTGTTTCAGTGCCTAAGGCATTTGCTAACCAGAAGGCTGGAAGATCAAACCACCAGCTACTCCTCAGAAGGAAGGTTGGGCAATCTACTTCTATAGTAGTACCACCTCGGAAACCCAAGGAGGGGTCACTATGAGTTGGGCAGTGGGTTTGGTTTGGTTTTATTTATACCACAAATGGTACAGCCTTAACAAACAGGAGTTAATTCTTACAATTTGGAGGCTTTAAGTCCAAGTTCAAAGTGCCAGGCTCTAGGGGCTGGGTGAAAGCCCCTTAACCTTGGGGTCCAGCTCCGCCTCTTGCTCCCAGCCCACTGGAGCTAGAGGCGTTTCTTTACTCAGACAGTTGCTGGCTGCTGAGGCTGAGAAGCCCCAAGGTTGACAAGTATAAAGGCACATTCCCAATGTTACCAAACCACACAGCAGGCCATTAATTCAAGGCCATTGTAAGTCCCCAGGTCAGCAGAGCATGGCAGGCTACTGAACAACTACACGGCTACATGCAGGGTCCAAGCATGCTATAAGCTAGAGACCATTTCCAAAGCTCCTGCTTATATACAGGAAGCAGACCACATACCCAAAGGCAGCTACTCAGCTTCTCACAGTAGATTCCACCATGGAGTTGATTGCCAGTCTCATCATGAGGACTCGGGAGCAGGAGGCAGAACTGGACCCCAAGGTTGAGGGGCTTTCACCCAGCCCCTAGAGCCTGGCACTTTGAACTTGGACTTAAAGCCTCCAAATTGTAAGAAAAACTCCTGTTTGTTAAGGCCATCCCATTTGTGGTATATTTCTTGTCAGAGCAGTACTAGGTAACCAGAACAATCAGGAAGTGCATCAAGTCTTCTTTACTTTCAGCAAGCAAAGTTGTGTCATTTGCATATTTCAAGTTCATGAGTCTTCCTCCATTGTGAAGCTGTTTCATTCTGTTATACATAGGGTCTTTATGAGTCTGAACTGACTCAAGGGCACCTAACTAACAACAATATAAATTGGCCTTCCTTGTAGTTGAATGGATATTATCCTATCACTGACAGCATTGTACTTCAAGACAGATCTTTATTTGTCTGTTTGTTTGGTTATTGGATGATGAGTGTGACACTGCTCCTCTTAAATTTGTCATTCCTAGAATAGTAAACCATGTGATTTTCTGATTCAAAATGGCCAATAACAGTCCCTTACATCTCACTAATGGCTATCAATCTGTGTCTGTTCCATTTCATCTATTCATTTTCCTGGATTCATACTTTGTGTATTCCACATTCCAATAATTAATGGATGTTTGCAGCTGTTTCTTCTCATTTTGAGTCATTCCACATAGGCAAAAGAAGGTCTGGAAAGATTTATTCTATGCACGTTATTAAGGCTGACTCTCCTTTGAGGAGGCATCTCTTCCCCAGTTGTCTTTTAAGAACCTGAGAGGCTCATCTTCTGGCTTAATATCAGACAATGGTTCCCTGCCATTCTTAAGGTTTTCAGGGGCCAATTTTTTTCAGATGTAGACTGCCACATTCTTCTTCCTGGTCTATATTAGTCTGGAATCTTCACTGAAACCTGTCCACTGTGGGGTGACCCTGCTGGTATTTAAAATACCTGTGGCATAGCTTCCAGCATCACAGCAACATGCAAGCCACCCCAGTATGACAAACTAACAGATGAGTAGTGGTGTACCCATATATTTGTATTTATATGTAGCTAAGGAGCTCTGGGGGAGCTTTGGTAGCATAGTGGCTACGGCACTTGACTGCTAACCAGAAGGCTGGCAGTTCAAATCCACCAGCCACTCCTCGGAAGGAAGGTTGGGCAATCCTACTTCCGTAGTGATACTGCCTCGGAAACCCAAGGAGGGGTCGCTATGAGTCGGGGCCGACTCGACGGCAAACAACAACAACAACAAGGAGCTCTGGTAGCATAGTGCCTAAGGCACTTGACTGCTAACCAGAAGGCTGGCGGTTCAAACCCACCAGCCACTCCTCGGAAGGAAGGTTGGGCAATCCTACTTCCGTAGTGATACTGCCTCGGAAACCCAAGGAGGGGTCGCTATGAGTCGGGGCCGACTCGACGGCATATAACAACAACAACAACATAGATACTTCTAGCAACTCTGGTAGCCTAGTGCCTAAGGCACTTGACTGCTAACCAGAAGGATGGCGGTTCAAACCCACCAGCCAGTCTTCGGAAGGAAGGTTGGACAATCTACTTCCATAGTGATACTGCCTCGGAAACCCAAGGAGGGGTCACTATGAGTTGGGTCTGACTCAACAGCACATAACAACAATATAGATACTTCTAAGGAGCTCTGGTGGTGTAGTGGGTAAGGCATTTGGCTGCTAACCAAAAGGTCAGTGGTTCGAACCCACCAGCCACTCTGCAGAAGAAAGCTGAAGCAGCCTGCTTCTGTAAAAATTTAAAGCCTTGGAAATCCAATGGGGGTCACTATGAGTCAGAATTGCTTTGATGACAGTGAGTTTATAGATACTTCTAGGAGCTCTAGTTGTGCAGAGGTTAAAGCACTCTGCTGCTAACCAAAAGTTCAGCAGTTTGAACCCACCAGTCATACCTTGGGAGAAAGCTGTGACTGTCTGCTTCTATAAAAATTGGAAAACCTATGGAACAATTCTACTCTGTCCTGCAGGATCACTATGAGTCAGAATCAACTCAGTGGCAATGGGTTTGGGTTTTTTTTATAGATAATTTTATCTATATACACAGCTATAGTGTGTATATAGATATACCATATACTAATTTGCCTATACCATCTATATGTACTCAAAGACTTACATGTACTTTGGCTGTGCTGTATCCACATGAAGTGCCACTTTTCCCATCAGCAAATAATAATAATATAACAAATCTCTACTATCTAAAGGAGACTTTCCCTTTCCTTCTGCTCTCCCTAATAACCATCAATGAACCATCATCTCTTTCTATATGTATCTATTCTTGTCATCTTATAAAAGAGAAGTCATTCAATATTTGTCATTATATGTTTGACTTATTTCTCTTAGCATTATTCCCTCAAGACCCATCCATGCTATATGTTTTACAGACTCATACATTGTTCTTCATGTCGCATAGTATTCCATTAAATGCATGTATCCCACAAAAGTGGCTTATCCATTCATCCATTGATTGGCACTTCGGTTGTTTCCATTTATTTAATATTGTGAATAAAGCAGCAGTGAACAGAAGTGCCAATCAATGGATGAATGGATAAGCCACTTTTGTGTGATACATGTATATAATGGGTCACTATGAGTTGGGGCCGACTTGATGGCACATAACAACAACAGGGTATATACCTACAAGTGAGAATGCAGAATCATAGGATAGTTCTATTTCTAGTTTTTTGAGAGCACTCCTTTCATTCACCAAGAAGGTTTTAATTCTACAAACAAGCTTGAATAAATAAGTAATACATTTTGAAAAATTGAGCACTGACCTGTAAAACAAACTCCCTAAAACAAAATTGGGCTTGAGCTCTGATTTGAGGATCTTAAGTGGAGACAACCCATGACACTTTCCTCTTTCCCATCAGGCAGCAGTGAAGGCGGTGGTGGCCTCTTCCCGTTTGGGAAGTGCCAGCAGTCATGGCAGTATCCAGGAGAGCCACAAGGCCAGCCAAGACCCGTCTCCAGTCCAAGATGGCAACCAGGACATCAAAGCTATTCCAGATGGAGAAAAAGCTCTAGGAGATGAGACCCAAATGGCATTTGAGGGGGCAAAGGCAGAGCTCATGAAGAAGCAGGCCTTAGAGAAAGTTAAAGATGTAGATACAAATGCTGCCGAGGCCACCAAGATGGTGCCAGAAGAACAGGATGATGGGATAAAGGTGGCTGAGCCAGAAACTGAAGAGGTCCTAATTGAGGAAAAGCTGAAGACTGTGGAGGAAGCAGCAATCCCCAAAGAAGGACCAGAAGATGCTGACCTGGGACTTGGAGTTCAGCAGTATGATGTGAACCTGCCAGAGTATTAAGTTGGTTTCCTTCAGATCTAGGAGCCAAACCCTGGCATTTTATGCATTTTGTCCTTCAGCAAGAAAGATAAGGAAGCATGATATTCACTATAGTGATTCTGTTTTTGAGGTGCAAAAAGTACATGTATATCAATTGGTAATCCTACCTTCAATGCATGTGACTGCTTTATGAAAATAATAGTGTCTTCTATGGCATGTAATGGATAACTAATACTGATGAGTTAAATTTGAAATTGCAAGTAAACACAGCATCATATTTAAACATAAAGACATTTTCAGACACCAGTGACACACATTTGAAGTTAAATAATAACTAATTGTTTTTTCTTTAAAAACCTAGCAACCTACATCCTCTGGGTTTCTTCACAAGGCAGTAATTCCTTTGGACTACTGCTCACCTAATACCAGGTACTCCCACAAGATGTGTTTCATGATATTTGCAACATTTTACTTTTCATCATTATTATGTTCAAAGTGTTTACAAAGAGATGATTATAGTCATATGGTACAGCAAAAAGACATTCCACTCATAATGGTAAGAAATTCAAGCATATTTTTAAGGACCATGAAACCATATGCCCCTAAAGCTTTTATGGATAATGCCTTATTAGTTTATCTTTATTTCTATATGCTATATTGATAATAACAAAAACTGTTCTTTCATAAAATTCTACCATTTTACAATGTTGGAAAATGCATTTACAAACTCATGTTGAGGAATGTATTCTTCTTTTCATCTGCTCTGCAATAAGATGTCCTTCTGATAAAAAAAAAAAATTAGGGGGAAAGAAAAGAAGAGAATATTGGGACTTAGATTAAGGAAGAAAGATTGACTCCTTGTCATTTTTGAGATAAAATTGTATTTATTCATGAGTTTCTACAACCTTACAAATAGGAACATTTTTATGAATAAATTGTATAATGACCAACTTTCAAATATTTTAAAAAATCTATTCGTAGGCTGGTGCCAAAATGTCTGAATAGAGTGGGAATAACATTCTATTATACAATTATTAACTTTACTAGAATAAGGAAACCTTTTTGCTCATAAAATCCCTTTCTTCCTTTAATTGATAGTTATCTAGATATAGTACATATGAACTAAAGATATTTCTGAAAAGCTAGTGTATCTTTCTTTCATAGTTGGAATGAATGTCCCCATATTTTACAATGTTGTTTTGAAAATTTCCATGTCAAGAAATTTAGAACAATGCAACTTCTTATTTACCTTTAAAAAACAAATGAAAACAACCAAAACACTGATTTCAAATCAGACTCTTGAGAAGCTAGATTAAACCTATTATTTTTATTATATTGTTAAGAATAAATTTAACTTTTCTTTGATTTAAATATCCATATCTTTCCCTCAAAAAAAAAAAAAAAATCACACTAATTCCAAGTATCCCAGATTTATTTCTAATTTAGGTTGAAATGGACATTTTGGTAAATAAATTACCAAATTTTTGATGTTTACTTAATTTTTTAAAAAAATCATTTTTAAGAGACCAAAATGATAGACAATGAAAATGGCCACCACATAAAAATCCTCATTGAAAAAATAAATAAATAAATACAATTTTTGGTTCTTCCTCAAAACTGTTAAATTGGGAAATGAAATTCAATCTCTAGTTTCTGGAGGCTATGGGAACTGAGTAGACATTTTGTTTTCCAAGCACAACTCTTCCTTTACTCCTGTCCTCTTGAGAAGAAAACATGGTGGGACTTCCTGTCTACCATGGTAAGGGCTTGTCAGGTCACTGACATGAATGGAGGACCAGGGTCCTGAAGATGCCAATCATCTGAACTCAGAGCAAGATTATTTCTTGATTTATCTTTCCTTAGTAGAAAGTACTTGTCCTCTTCTTTCTTTTATTCCTACCTTCCTTCTTTTAATTTTTCCCTCCCAAAATTCTCATTTTTGCCATGAAAAAAGCTCTCACTATTTTTAACCTTTAAAAATGCCTTCTTTGCTAAGCATTTAGATTTCCCTTTAAAAAAAAAAATCGAGGAAAATAGCTGTCATTTGAAAAGCCTATTTCCTAGTTTACTTTTCCCAATGAGACTTAATAGATACAGTAAAATCTGCAAAAGCCAGAACTTTTGTAGGTGGAAACCTGTCCGAGAAATATTTTCCACTAATAGAGAGCAATAGAAAAACGGTAAGACTGCACCTTGTCAAAGGCAGGAAACTTGCAAGACTCAGGAAAACAAGGCAGTCCCATTTAATTTTGGCTCTTAAAGTTTCACTGTATATATGGTAACTTCCCATATGTCTGAGTAGGAAAGAAGAGACAGGAGTCTTATTAGAAAGTGTTTGTCACTTACTTGGAAGATGAGAACACATCATCCCTCCCAGTCCATCACCATATTGTTGCAAGAACAGTTGTTATCATTCCAAGACTACAATGGTTGGCCCTGTGCACTATAGCAATGTGAGTGCTATAGCCAATGTGTTTTAGAATTTATCCCTTCGTGGGTGTGAGGGTAATTCCCCCTGCCTTTTTTAGCCTGTAAATTGCACACTCTAAAATTTTAATCAGTGGTAGTTTTCAATTTCAAATCCTATTTTAAAGATTAAGTCCTAGTAATGTCTAAATAGTAACTTAGGTAATTCAGTGAGGGAAAATATCCAAACTGATTTTAAAAAAAAATAGTTGTTATTTCAATCAAAAAATGATTTTATTAGGTTTCATATAAATACAGTCTGAACTGGGATAAATTGTGTTAATATTTTTAAAACAGCTAACATTTTTATTGCTTGCGAAAATGGGCTATATCATCTATCAAAGATGACCAAGGCAAATAATAGTAGACTGTTGCAGATGGTGTCTTAATTTGACAAACTACTTTGTGACATTACCCCTAATTGAAAATATAATCATGAAGCAAAATAATGAAAAATATTTCAACAAAAAACAGGATTTTAGAGCTGACAATTACCACATAGCATTATTGGCTTTAGTTATGAGAAAAGGTCAGGTACATATCATAAACTAGATTCTTTAGCCATGAAGAAGGAAAACCTTGACTAGTTTCCTCCATTTAAAAAGTCTAATTTGGAATCCTATTGATTTTTTTCAAACTACAAACTATATTTGTCCTACAGATGCATGAATAGGGTGGAAATCAGAATAATATGGTTGTAGAAGTTTTGGTAGAACAAGTGCTGTCTGATGTGCTTGATTAGCCACATAGATAGTTTTAAATTTTCTATTAGCTACATTTGAAAAAGTAGAAAATAGCTGAGATTAATTGTAGGAATATATTTTTAATCCAATATATCTAAATTATTATATTAACATGTACTCAATATTAAAAATATTAATGTGATATTTTACATTCTTTATTTTTATACAATTTTTCCAAACTCTGGAGTATAATTTACAGCTCCAGAACACCAAGTGCTCTAAATAGCTACATATGTCTAGTAGTTAAGGTATTGAACAGCACTGGACTGGTGTAGTTTTATTTTAAGCAAAGTGATATTAGAATTTCTATGCTTATATTTAAGCTGCCTCAGTTTTCCAAATTAATGAGTCAGTTGGAGGCCAAAGAGAAAATGTTTCAGAAAGGTCACAGATTGAAATTTAAAAAAAAAAAAAAGTTTATTGCTACTTCAGCTAATTTGTGTGCTTCAGAGGAGTGTTTCCCCAACATGGCTTTTGAAGAACAATTTCCTGAACATTGTTAAATTGCCTATTGGCCATAGTCCCTCTAATCTCCCTTTGGGCCTTGGGTTCTGGATTATAGGCTAAAGTCCCCTGAGTAGTACCGTGGAGCCAATAGTTCCATGCTTATCAACATCTGCTGTGGATGAACCATGTGTTCCCTCGGGAAGGACTGCACACAGAATCTTAATAGCATTTGTAGGCCTTTACTAAGCTGGACTCAGCCCAGGTGTTCCACCCATGTATCGCAGGTGATATGTCCTTCCAGAAATCTGCTGAACCATACCAACTTTACATGATGATGATCAGATGATGATGATGATATCATCCCATTTACTCTGAAAATGGGACTATAACTGTTGGCTAGTATTATTTAGATCTCTTAAGAAGGATTTAATTGGCACTGCCATTACACATAGACTTTTGGAATTTTCTTACATACTGCTATTTCAAAACAATTATTCGAGGTTCTATAGTCATTTTTAGTGACAGACTTAAAGGAGCAGTTTGCTTTTTATTGTGACTTCAATTACATAGTCTTTTAAACATACTGTGCAACTTAGATGTTTCCCTATTTCCAGTTTAACATGCAAGGTGACTAACTGACAGTGGGTTGCCTACAGCCTGAAGATCTGGAAAGAACCATTTTGTTTCATAATTCAAAATTTTTATTGCACGGAAGCAGCTGGTTGTATTTCAGATTGGGAAATGAGAAGCAATTGCCAGTAAAGGCAAAGGATAAAATTAGGAAACAATTTATTCTGTTTTAGGACTATTCTTGCAAAGCAAATGCAAAAAATAAAAAGTCAACAAAGTGAATCAGCACTAGATTTTTCTTGATGAAGGTTGACTCCATATATAATTGACATAAATATACTGAGCACAGTCAATTACATAATTACAAAGCCATTATGTCATTTGCATGTCATTCAGAGTAATTATTCAGCCTGGTTACCTAGGTCTACTTTAAATGGTGCAAAGTTTCCAGTCATTTATATACATAATAAAATTTATAATATCCTTGTAATTACTGCCTCTTAGGTCATATTCCAATTTCCTTAACCATCATTACTGAAATGTTCCCAACTAGGGTCACTGCTAACTTTTGAGCAGTTGCTGGTTATACACTGCTTAATGGTTAGACTCTATGTGAGTCTTCAGTGTTCTTTTTAAACATTTACTCTATTGGTATAATATACAGAGCCACATGAGAAGCAGAAATGTATCCAACAGTTTCCTATACCATTTTTTCACAAAGTCCTTTTATTGCCCTGAAACAACTCAGGATCAGAGTCTGGCTCCTTGACCAATATGGAGGGGAGAAAAAAAAAAAATTCAGGAGGTGAGATATATTAGTTATCCACCCATGGTAACTTAGTTCAACATTTCTACTTTGATCTGTTAAGGACCATTTCTACTTTGATCTGTTAAGGATCATTTTTTTGTCCTTATAATTCCTACAGCTGTCACCTCATCCATTTATATACTCATCATGGAGAACAATAACAAACTTAGTTAAATTTCTCATGTGTGGTTGTGTTGGTTGTTTAAAAAGGAGCCCTACTGGCACAATTGTTAAAACACTCAACTGCTAACCAAAAGGTCAGCAGTGCAAACCCACCAGCTGCTCTGTGGGAGAAAGATGAGGCAGTGTATTTTCAGTAAAGATTTGCATACTTGGAAACCCTGTGGAGCAGTTCTACTCTGTCCTGTAGAGTTGTTTTGAGTGGGAATCTACTCAGTGGCAGTGGGTTTGGTTTGGTTTCGTTGTACACGATTCCAATTTTCATAAATACTCTGTGATTTACTCGAGAAGGACTTAATTACCTGATTTAATTCTTTTGTGAGACTCAGTCTGATGAAAGCCCTGACATGAAAGTGAGACCATTTGAGTCTTTGGCAGGAGTCAGCCACTACT